TAACAAAACATCGTCCATCTGGCTGCCAGCAGCAGTACCCGGCCGCTGCACCGTGGCTCCTTGCACCGCCTGCACGCCCTCGTCCTCACCTCTCGTGAGGTCACCCGCTCTTCCCCGTCCTTCCCCCTGTTCTCACCCCTCAGCTGCTGCTGACTGCCAGCGGTGTGATGCGCAGTCCCAAGAAGATCGACTTGGAGAAGATATCGGACAAGGGTCTGGACCTGTGCGCCATTTGTGCCAAAACGGGTGAGGAGCCGCTGCATAGCTCTGAAAGCCGCTTCCTTCCATCACTCAGCCCCCACAACGGCCATATTGGCTAGTCAACTTGTCCCATTGCAGCAGCTGAGCCAATCCTGCTTGCACTCGGATGCCGTACCATATCACTCGGCGGCCTCTTTACCGCTTCCAAATCACCTCTCCCCCCCTCCCCTCTGATGCCTTATCACACGGTCAGTTAGATGTTTCCTCTTTATCCCCCACTACCTTGCAGGTGGAGCATGTGCTGGTGTACGAGAACGACAACGCCGTGCCCGCCGTTGACTGCCCCTTCACTGCCGGCCGCGACCGCTGGTGGCAGTCGGAGGTGGCGCAGCAGTCCACCAACTGCCCGGTGGAGTGGGTGGAGGCGGAGCACCCGCTCTTCCTGCTGTACACCTCGGGATCCACCGGTAAGAAGAAGAGGAAGGCCGGAGTCGCAGCTGCTGGGGTTGCTGCTGCTGCTGCCGTTGCTGCTGCTGAGCCCCGTCCCTGCAGGCAAGCCCAAGGGTGTGCTGCACACCACTGGCGGCTACATGGTGTACGCCGCCACCACCATGCGCCACGTGTTCCACCTGCAGCGCGGGGACGTGTACTGGTGCTCCGCCGACTGCGGCTGGATCACCGGACACTCCTACCTCGCATACGGACCCCTCCTCAACGGAGCAACGCAGGTGCGGGGGCGTGTGTGTGGACAGGGAGGCTGAGACGGGCTTGCTTGCCTGGTTTGCGTGGCTCCAAACACACCTTGCTAACCTGAACCGCATGGCCTGCTAATAGATACCTTTGTAAAGGAAGTCCTTGTGAACCCGTTGACACGTCAGGACACGGCTACTTGCCCCCACATAGCACACAACCGTGCTTACCCCCACACCGTCACCCTCTCTCCGCACCACCCCCCAGATCGTGTTCGAGGGCGTGCCCACGCACCCCACCCCCGCTCGCTGCTGGGAGGTGGTTGCCAAGCACCGCGTGATGCAGTTCTACACGGCTCCCACCGCCATCCGCTCGCTGATGTGCTTCGGCGACCAGTGGGTGGAGCAGTGCGAGCTCTCCTCGCTGCGCTTCCTGGGCTCCGTGGGCGAGCCCATCAACCCGGAGGCGTGGCGCTGGTACAACCAGGTGGTCGGCAAGGGCAAGTGAGTGGGGAGGGGATTGGAGGCGGGGGATGGGATGGGGCATGGGGATGCAGCTGAGGACAGCTGAGGGAAGGGCAGGGGCATGGGGCGGGACAGCACGATACCACATGCACGAGGAGTGGTATGCATGTCCTTCACCTCCCGCCCCGCCCTTCTGCCTCCTGCCCTCCTCAGGTGCCCCATCATGGACACCTGGTGGCAGACGGAGACGGGTGGCCACATGATCACCCCGCTGCCGGGCGCCTGGACGGAGAAGCCCGGCAGCGCCACGCTGCCCTTCTTCGGCGTGCGCCCCGCCGTGCTGGACGAGACGGGCAACGAGCTGCAGGGCGAGTGCGAGGGCGTGCTGGCCATTGCGCAGCCCTGGCCCTCCACCCTGCGCACCGTGTACGGCGACCACGAGCGCTACCAGTCCAACTACTTTGGGCCCTTCCCGGGGTACTACTTCACAGGTGACGGCTGCCGCCGCGACGCCGACGGCTACTACTGGATCACGGGTCGTGTGGATGACGTCATCAACGTGTCGGGCCACCGCATCGGCACCGCGGAGGTGGAGTCGGCGCTGGTGGCGCACCCCGCCTGCGCGGAGGCGGCGGTGGTGGGCTACGACCACCCGGTGAAGGGGCAGGGCATCTACGCGTACGTGACGCTGATGGAGGGCACGGAGACCAGCAAGGAGCTCAAGAAGGAGCTGGTGGCGGCGGTGCGCAACACCATTGGCGCGTTCGCGGCGCCCGACGTGATCCACTGGGTGAGGAGGCAGGGTGGGGGGCGGGGCGGGAGGTGGGGTGGTTGATGGTTACGGTGCGGTACTGGGAAAGGAGTTACCGCGGTTGCCACCAAGGACTTGCGCACTGCTGTTGGCCCAGCCATTCCTCTGACCTGTGTTTCTACCTGTGCTGCCGCACATCCCCCTGCTCCGCCCCTCGCTCAGGCTCCCGGCCTGCCCAAGACCCGCAGCGGCAAGATCATGCGGCGAGTGCTGCGCAAGATCGCTTCGAAGGAGGAGGACCAGCTGGGCGACACCTCCACCCTGGCCGACCCAGGGGTCGTTCAGGTGCTGGTGGACCTGCGCGGCAAGTAAAGGCAGCAGCAGGACGAGAGAGGAGGCCTCGCTCTCTGCTTGGATGCCTAGAATATGCTCCAAAGAAGGCACGGGATTGGGGTTTTTTGCTATGGTTTATTTCCTTTCTCTGAGGACATGAGGGAAGACCAAATGGGGTTATACTCTGGCTGGCGTGTGGATGGGCTGCTGCCGTGCCGCTCGTGAGCCGGTGTGCATCTAGTGGCTTAGGGTATGGGAGCTGACCTGCGCCTTGGGGCAGCGAGCGAGAGCGGGTGTAGTAGTGCTGTGTTGGAGCTGGCGTTGCGTGTTCCTCGATGCAGGTGTAGTGGGCGGTTTAGGGTCGATGCATATGACTGTGACTAGTGCTTGATAGAGAGGGGTAGGGTTATCTGGGGTTGATCGCCGAGGTAAGGGCCTGCTTGGCTGGAGGGTGGGTGTGACACGGGCAACCGTACTTTTGGATACCTCGGGTGAACAGCTCCAGTGGAAGTATGGGGCTATTTGTAAACGATATGTTCAAATGCTCAGCCTTCTAGTTGAGCTGATCTGCTTATCAGGGCTGGCAGCCCAGTTACCGGTGCTGTCGTAAATCGTACGACACTGGACTCGTAGGCACCTGTCCCGCCGCAGCTTGTGGTATCTAAAGCGCAGCACCCTGCGCATCAGTGCTTAGCACCCGAGTCCTGCTCTCGAGACTTGTTGGGCTCGTTGTGACGAATACCGGTTGGACATGCGAGGCGAACAGGGCCCTAATTCCTTCCATGTAACAAAAAGACTCCTACTTTCAAGTCGAACCGCAAGAAAGAAAGAAAAGCGCGTTGTGTCACACCAGCCTCCAACAGCCCGTGGGGGGCGGTGCACGGCCGTGGGGGGCGGGTGACGTACAAACCCGTTGCCTACGAATGTGGGTAGGGTAACGGCAGCGTGGGTAGCAGGTAAGAAGCGCGGCTGTTGTGGTTGAGGGTAGGTGACAGAAGAGGAGCGGTGGATAGACAATATGGATAGGCCAGCACCTGAAAGGTGTTGTGGGATGGCCAGCGACCCTGCGCATTCGACGCCCTCTGCATGTGTTCATTGGTGTGCTACATGTGCCCCTGTGCTGACAACTTTCCTGCTCCTGTCTGCTGCAGAGTCGGAACCGGAGCCGGCAGTTATGTTGGGAATGCCGCCGGAAGGGTTGACCCAATCCCAGAAAATTATCCCGTGCATCTGGCACTGCAACTGCCACCCCCACTGCGTCCGTACGTTACCTGCCGTAACTGTACCCGTACCCTATGGGCCGTGGCTTTTTCGTTTTGGGAGAGTAATTTTTTCGCACCCTGAGCCTTCGCGTCAGTCTGTCGTTTTAACAATTTAACTATGGGTATATGATGTGCAACAGTGCAATGGTGCGACCAGCAGCCATATCCTCAAAGCCCAGCAGAAGCAGCAATTGCTACCGGAATGGTTGACATGCTCCGCAATGGATGCGGCTGCTTCTGCCAGAGCTGCAGGCGGTGTAAGGCCGAAGACAGCAGCTGGCAGCGGGTGTGGCCGTACGGGTGGCTCCGCCCACATTCCCCGGGCCAGCAATGGGCCGCTCCCGGTGCTCGACCTAGAGGTATCACCGCTTAAAGGTGGATGCTGTGCGAGGAGTGAGAGCTGCAGGGGGCCATGGTATGGCCGGGATTCGCTGCAGCAGGGCGAATTGCGACGTGAGCCCTGGTGAGCCCTTTAAAGAAAGACCGAAATCCTGCAGGGAGCGCAGCCTTTGCCCAACACCCCTTGCACCCTACGTACAAACAGCCGCACGCCCCAAAGTCCTCCATCGCCAAACCAAGCCCTCGACTCCACCCGTGATCCAATCCTTCATTTGCATAAGCACTCAATACACAAGCTACACCGTCACTCACCCATACCCCACTCAGGGAAACCCCCGCTGCATGCCGTGCACCAACACTGCCAAAACCATTTATAAAATCACCACCCACATCCCACCACCTGCACAACCGTCGCCGTCATTACCACATCCCTCTCCTGCCATTGCACTACACCACCGGTATGCGGTCCTTGAGGTAAGCCAGCACCGCCGCCGTGCCTCGCTCCAGGATGGGTCGCCGCAGCGTGCGCAGCGGGTTGCCCTCCAGCCCCAGCGAGCGCAGCGAGGAGCCCAGCAGGCCCAGCTGCGGGGGCAGCGAGGCCAGGCTGTTGTTGCACAGAGGGAGCTCCTCAAGCCTGAGAGAGGGGGGGGAGGGGAGGTAAATGTTGGGATATAGGGTGCCAAAAATGGGGGGGATTGGAATGGATGGGGCAGGGAGAGTGTTGGGAGGAGTGAGGAGGTGCTAAGAAGGAGATTACAGAAACCATGGTTAGGGTGTCTAAAACGCCTTTCCAAGTTTTCCGTGCTTGGTCCTGAGCCCTACATAACTCCCCTCGCCAGCAGGCACCCACGCGCTGGGAACGTTGGCTGCCCCCCCCCCCCCCCTGATGGCACGACCCAGGTCCCTTAACTGGTCACAATTGGTCACCCGGTCCTAGCGCCCATGCCCCCCCCCACCTACCTTGTCATGTTGGCCACCTCGGGTGGCAGCTGCTCCAGCCGGTTGGACGCCAGCAGCAGCACCCGCAGCCGCGGCAGCTGCAGCAGCTCGACGGGGAAGGCGGGCAGACCCGTCTGGCTCAGGTCTAGGGTCTGCGCGGACAGGACGGGACGGGGGTGGGGCTCCTGCCTGGTCAGCGGGGTGGGGAGCTTAGTGCGGCCTAGGCTGATGGCGATGCGCTGCAGTGCGGGAAGAGAGACGCATGGGGGGGAGCAACAACCATACGGTACTGTCTCAAGTGTGGAGTGTCCAACAGCACCGACCTCAAGCGCTGGGAGACCGGTGAAGCAGCCCGGAGGCAGAGCGCCGGCAGCGGGTGCACCTGGGAGCCATGCAGGAGCGGAGCAGGAGGGGGGAAGCAGGGGGTGACGGTTGACATGGGCGACTGGTTCGTAAGGCGTACGACGCCTCCTAGACCCTCCTACCCGCACTTGCTTTCGGTGTAAGGATCTTGCATCACTTGGCCTTCGACACCCACTCACGCACCCGCATGCAGCAGTCATCACCCAGCTCAGCGACCCACCTGCCAACTCCAGGCGTACAAGCCCCGGGCATGCGGTGAACGGGTTGGGCGGCAGCTGCCGTAACACCGGGTTGTTGCGAACCTGGGAAGCAGTTCAGGCGTTCAGGACGATGCGAAGAGAGATGTCAGGACACAGGCAGGAGAACTGGGCAACTAGTTGCAGGCGGCACCGACCCATGGGACACTCCCGCCCACCTGCAGCTCTGTCAACGCTGGCAGGGCCCCAGGCACTCCCACCGGCAGCGGCCATGCATTCAGCCCCATGCCATTCAGCAGCAGGCACCGCAGCCCGGGCAGCCGACACAGCCCCCCGGGCGGCGGCGGCAGCACCGGAATCTGATTGCTGCTCAGGTCTAGCCGCGTCAGGCTGGGACCCGCGTCCCATACCTCCGCAGGCACCTCACGCAACCCAGCTCGCGCCAACAGTAACTCCCCTCCTCCACCGCCGCCGCCGCCGGCGCCTCCGCCACCACCGCCACCTCTGCCGTAGCCGGCGCCTGCGGCGGCGCCGCCAGCGGCGGCAGCGGCCGCCGCCGCCACGCCACCCAGCTTGAGCTTCCTCGCCGCTTCCGCCGCCATTTCTGCGCCGTCTAGGCCGAATACGTTGCCTGATCGGGCAGCGGAGGCGGAGTGCAGGGCGCCCAAGCGGGTCGGCGGACCGGCGGGGGGCCCGGCTGCGGCATCGGGGTCAGCTTGCCGACTGGCCAGGTACTTGAGCAACTGGGAGATGGGGCCTGCGGGGCGGTCGACAGGAGGAGAGCACCAAAAGGAAAACTCACCGTATAGCAGGCATGCAGATAGGGGCCGGGCAGGCAGCGGCAGGCGGCTAGATGGATGGAAGATGGGTGTTTAGGAATACCGGTAGCCGAGTATCCAAGCGCGTTTGTTACCGGACCTCACACACCTGAGCCTTAAGCCCCGTGCCCTCACCTGCCACCAGCTCCCTGCGGATGCGCTTGAGCGGGTTGCCGTCCAGTGGCAGACTGCGCAGGCTGGTCATGGAGCCTGTGCGGGGGTGGGAGGGTGGGCGCACTGAGACAACCGAGGCAGCAGAAGCAAGGACGGGCAGCCAGCTCGAGGAAAGGGCACGGGTAGCAGGTAGCTAACACCCTGATCGCCGGACTCGCCTTGCAAGCTATCCTGGCCCCATGTCCATCGGTTGCCCCTCCCCCCCCACGCACGCCTTCACAAGCCCCTTCTCCCCTCACCCCCCCAGCTCCTCACCCAGCTCCGCCGGCAGGGATCTGAGGTCGTTGTTAGCCAGGTCCAGCAGCCCCAGCCTCAGGTCACACAGCTGCGGGAGGGAGGAGGGGGTGGCAACAGGGCGTCAGCGGCTTTCCAGCCCAGCACGGCTCCTTGGGCCCTTCAGTACGCCCAAGCCCACCTCACAACATGGGGCGGCAGCTGCATGAGCCGGTTAGCACCGCCCATAATCCCATTTTCCCCGCTTGTCCCGCCTCTCCTACCCCTGCTCCCCTACCTCCACCTCCCCCGCTCCCCACCTGCCCACCTCTGCCGGCAGCTGTGTGAGCCTGTTGTCGCGCAGCTCCAGGGTCCGCAGCGCCTCCAGCAGGCCCAGCTCGGGGGGCAGGCAGGACAGCTGGTTGCGACCTGCGTGCGATGCAGGCGACGGAGGAATGAGGGACGGGGAGGTAGGGGTGCGGTCCAGCAGGGGTTCTGGACAGCTGGTCTGCGGGAGTCGGGGTTGGCGGACTGCCGGCTGCCCCTATCCGGGCGCACCACCCTGGCGCACCCATCACCTTTTGAGTACCGTACCAAGCAACACCCTGTAATGTGGCACCCTGCCGCCTCCTATCCCCAGTGTTTTCCCCTAGCCTGTGGTTTCCTATGGTACGGCATGGTCTTTCATCCCCCTCATCCCACCCACCCAGGTAGAGCTCCACCAGTGCCGTACAGCCCGCGATGCTGGGCGGCAGCCCCGCCAGCTTGTTGTCCCGCAGGTTGAGGGAGCGCAGGCGGGCCAGCAGCCCCACCTCTCGCAGCAGCTGCCCGCGCAGCCGGTTGCGGGAGAGGTCCAGATCGGTCAGGGAGCTGGGTTGGGAGGGGATGGGAGGCGGGTTTGGGGGTCAAGGATAGTTGGAAGGTGGTTAGGGCAGTGGTCAGGGCGGGGCGGAAGGGTGCAAAGGAGGGGGAGGTGGGGGAGACGCATCACAGGACATGTCCCTCAGTCCCACTGTCCTCTCCTCTTCTGTTCACTTCCCCGCCACCTACCCCCTCTCCAACCCACACCCAAGCTCCATGCCCCGCAACCCGCACATCCAAGCCCAGCCCACCACCCCTCTCTCCCTCTCCTGCACCCTCTCAGCCCCCGCCCTGCCGTACATGCATGCGCGCACCTCAGCCCCGGCATGATCTTAGCCCAGGAGGCAGCTCCTCTAGCCGGTTGTCAGGCGCCGTGAGCAGCGCCAGGGAGGGCTGCTGCCGGCCGCCCAGCCCGGGGGGAGTCGCGGCAGGGCGTTCTTGCCGGCGTGCAGCACGGCGAGGGCGGGCAGGGCGGCTAGGGTGGGAGGGAGCTCCTGGGAGGGGAAGGTGGGGGTTAGTGGAGGTGCAGGAGGGATGCGACTGGAATCTAGGAGGGAAGGAAAGAGGACACAGGAAGGAGTGCCCCGAGCTGTGCCAGGCCTTTTTAGCTGCACCCTGCCCTAGGGGCAACCCCCAGGGCCCGCCACCCACCTGCAGCTTGTTGTTGGAGACGTCCAAGAGCTGGTTGGGGGCGAGGGGGCGGCGAGCCAAGGGCAAAGGCAGGGGTCAAGGACGTGTGTGCCCTTGAGATGGTGTTACAAGTGAAGACGACATGCTTGGCAGGCCGCAGAGCCACATGCGGCGGGCAAGCCACTTGACGAGCTCAGGGCTGCTGGTTGCAGCAGCATACATGCACTTCCCCCTCACTGTTCCCTTTGTACCTTCAAACAGGAGAGCATCGACAGCGTCATGGGCAGCTCTGCTAGCTGGTTGTGACTGCGGTTGGGATGGGAGTGCAGGTTCGGGGAGAGGGGCTTAAGGGTTGGAGTTCCGAAGCTTGAAAACGGCTTTTACTGGTAATGATCTGGACTCAGGACGCCCACGGTAATGTGGGTCGAGCTGGGTACGGAGCGTCCGGACAGGCTGCAGCAGCTGCAATAGGCTGCAAGACAATTGGGTCGTCTGAGCTCAACCCCGGCCTACCTGACGTCCAGGTGCGTGAGTGTGGCTAGCGTGCCTACCTCGGCTGGCAGGGAGGTGAGGGAGTTGCGGGACAGGTCTGCCTTGTAGAGCTCAGCGACCTGGGGGGAAGATGGCGGTGGAGGGTGGTGGCGGTGGAGGTGATGATTCCTTCGTCCTGGAGCCAAACCACTTCCCTGTTGCCCGCAAACCCAAATACAGGGTTGCCATGGTTGCTTGCTCCCCCGCTGCACGGCTTCCAGCAGCTGGAGGCAAGCTAGTGCTCAAATCCCGAAGCAGACTTCCGAGGTCACCCTTGTGTCCCCACCTCCCACCACTTGGCCTCATGGCCCGGTAATGGCTCCTCAGGGTTATACACCGCGGCAAGCCGGCGAATGTCCCTGGCTGCTGAAGCCCCTGGGAGCCATACAGGGGAGAGGAAGCAGGAGGGAAGCGGTCAGCACAAGGCGTGTGACGCCTCATAGATCTTTCCTGCAGGCTCATTACTGCAAGTACTAACGTAGCTGCTTCAGTGCAGTGATCCTGCAATACTCGGTCTCCGGGCCTAAGCCGCGCACTCCATAAGCAGCAGCGACCCACCTGCCCAGCCCAGCGACCCACCGGCCGACCTCCCGTCCGCACCTCGACTGCAAGGTGGTTGCGGGGCAGGTATGACGGCGGCGTGCCACCTGGGGAAGGGGTTGAGGGATTGCAAAAGATGGAGGGGTGGAGGGTTCGGGTGACGGTGGAGGATGGTCCCAAGCAAGTGCAGGTCATTTAGTCACCAAACCGATTAAAGCACTCGCCGCCCATTCTTCGCTTCCTTCCTTCCTCCCTCCCTAGACTGTTTCTCCCCACCTAGCCTAGAAGCCCCCTCCACCCCCCGGCCCCTACCAGGCATCTGAGCCCTCTGCAGCTCCGCAGCATCCCCACAGCCTCCGCTACACAGCCCCGCCCGCCCCGAGAGGCTCGGGCAGCAGCAGGGAGAGGAGCCGGAGGAGGAGGCAGCATGGCCGCCGCCACCGCTGCTGAGGCCACCCCATCCACCGCCCACCCCGCCGGTTGTGCTGCCGCTGCCGCTGCTGGGAGCCAGGGCCTACGGATGTTGTTGTTGTTGTTGTTGTTGTTGGGGCAGACGTGAGGGGAGGTGCGCTGCTGAATGGTGGTGGGCGTGTGGGTCCACCTGCCATGTGGGGCACCTCCGCCGGGGTACAATAGCCGGGCAGAACCGCTCCGCCAGGCCATGTCCTTACTCCTCCGCGATCCCTAACCAACGGGGGCTGCTCCCCGCCACGCCTACGTGCCGCCCCTCCTGCCGGCCTCCCCAGGCCCCTCATGCCCCCCCCCCAGGCCCCCTCCTACCTCCCCCCCAGGCCCCCTCCTACCGCCCCCCCAGACCCCCTCGTACCTCCCCCCCAGGCCCCCTCCTACCGCCCCCCCAGACCCCCTCCTGCCGGCCCCCCAGACCCCCTCCTGCCGCCCCCCCAGACCCCCTCCTGCCCCCCAGCCCTCCTCCCACCTGATCACATACAGGCTCCACTGTAAGCGCTGCCCCCAGCGCCGCTGAGCCCCCCGGCGAGGTCCACACCGCCTCCAGGAGCAGCTGCCGCAGCGCCCTCGAGCCGTGCCACCCAGTACGGCACCCACAACCCAGTGCCGTACAACCAGCTGGGCGGCTCCCCGGCGGGCTGCCTCAACTGGGGCCGCCTGCAGCAGCTGCTTGAGCTGTCTGTGTGTGACCTGGGGTCCGGGTGGGTGAGGACAGCTCGTGTAGCTAGGGGCTGTTGACGCCTGAGGAGGCGGGCAATGCCGAGGATGTAGGGCGGGCGGAGTAGCTGGGTAAGGCTGCCGTACGTGTGTGGGTCCGATGGGTGAGTGTTAGGGAGGGAAGGAAAGTATGGCGCCTGGAGCTCATGTGCACAGGCACACGCCCCCACAGCACCCTGGTCCCATGTAGGCAACTGCCTCCGACCTTTGTACAGGGTGCTTGCACACTTGCCAACAGCTTCTTCTCATTGCGGAGGATGCCTGCAGAGAGCCCTCTGCCCACCTGGCATGCCAGCAGCGGCCCCCCGGTAATCGGGTTGGGAGGGATGGGCTGGGTACCATGAAGCAAGCCATGGTGAAGCCTCGTCTTGCAGCTCGTCAGTTGTTTCCTCTTTAACCCCAGGTAATCCCCAGGGATTCCAGCCTGAAGGGGAGGTGGGAGCGGCGAGGACAAGGTTTGCACGTTGCCAAGGTGGGACAAAGCGGGGCTTGCACAGAATATGAGATGAGCCAGATGGAACTGCTGAAGTGGGAATGCCGTTAGGGGCCTGATAGTACTCTTTTGACAGATGGACATATGCTGGGCGTGGCCATGCACGACGTCAAGGAGTAAAACGCGCTATGCGTCCGCCGACGTTTTCCAACATTATCACAAGCGGCCTTTACAAATTGCTAAGCGGCTGTAGACTTGCGGCGTCATTGCTGGAGCCATGGCAAGCGTCAACTAACTAACGATTCGGGTTCCTCAAGGCCTTACAAACCTGGCAATTGATGCCCGACACTGCCGAAATTGCTACATTCCACCTGACAGCATCTGGCTATGGCGAAGCTTTAGCGGGCTTGCGGTTGAGCAATGAGCATCCGAGATCCGACTCAAAATGTCAACCCCCACCAACTCGTATAACAAGCGTATCACCTGGGTTAAGGTATTTCGTAATATACAGCATGCTACTGAGAGAGCAACCTATGCTGGTGCACCAGTGTTGGAGACGTGCGAGCTGATACATCTTCTTCCTAATACGCAATAAAGGCAAGCCTAGTAGTCACTTGAAGGATATAAACGGCGACGGCAAGGCGGCTGTATGAGAGCCCATGAGTCGCTTCGCCAGGGACCGTACTGACTGGCGCGGGAATGCTTCTGGAGAACTCAGGGTCTACCGCGGTGAGTGGGGCCTGTTGGGACTTCTATATGAGTGCGGCCTGGGGCAACTACTTCTATCAATGTGCATGGAGGCTTCAAACCCAGGCTATCCTGCCTGAACTCGCTGCTGCGCTCCCCCACCTGCCTCGCTACCTAACCTCTGCTCCGCCCTGCCACACACTCCCCAACTGCGATCCATGGCAGTCCCTCACCGCAACACCGCACCACTCCACCCCACTCCACCCCCACTCCACCCCCACTCCACCCCCACTCCACCCCACTCCACCCCCACTCCACCCCACTCCACCCCCACTCCAACCCCACTCGCCCCCACTCCACCCCGCTCCACCCCACTCCACCCCATTCCACCCCACTCCAACCCCACTCCAACCCCACTCCACCCCCACTCCAACCCCACTCGCCCCCACTCCACCCCGCTCCACCCCACTCCACCCCATTCCACCCCACTCCAACCCACTCCAACCCCACTCGCCCCCACTCCACCCCGCTCCACCCCTCTCCATCCCCACTCCACCCCACTCCACCCCACTCCACCCCACTCCAACCCCACTCCAACCCCACTCCAACCCACTCCACCCCCACTCCACCCCGCTCCACCCCCACCCGCCCCCACTCCACCCCTCTCCATTCCCACTCCACCCCACTCCAACCCCACTCCACCCCCACTCTAACCCCACTCCACCCCCACTCCACCCCACTCCACCCCCACTCCACCCCTCTCCATCCCCACTCCACCCCACTCCAACCCACTCCAACCCCACTCGCCCCCACTCCACCCCGCTCCACCCCTCTCCATCCCCACTCCACCCCCACTCCACCCCACTCCAACCCACTCCAACCCACTCCACCCCCACTCCCCCCCACTCCACCCCACTCCACCCAACTCCACCCCACTCCACCCCACTCCACCCCACTCCACCCCACTCCACCCCCACTCCACCCCGCTCCACCCCCACTCCACCCCGCTCCACCCCGCTCCACCCCACTCCACCCCACTCCACCCCACTCCACCCCACTCCAACCCCACTCCAACCCCACTCCACCCCACTCCAACCCCACTCCACCCCACTCCACCCCACTCCACCCCACTCCACCCCACTCCACCCCACTCCAACCCCACTCCACCCCACTCTACCCCCACTCCACCCCCACTCCACCCCTCTCCCCCCCACTCCACCCCCACTCCACCCCCACTCCACCCCCCTCCACCCCCACTCCACCCCACTCCACCCCCACTCTAACCCCACTCCACCCCCACTCCACCCCCACTCCACCCCGCTCCACCCCCACTCCACCCCCCTCCACCCCACTCCAACACCACTCCACCCCCACTCCACCCCCACTCCACCCCACTCCACCCCCCTCCACCCCACTCCACCCCACTCCACCCCCACCCGCCCCCTCTCCACCCCGCTCCACCCCACTCCAACCCCACTCCACCCCACTCCAACCCCACTCCACCCCACTCCAACCCCACTCCACCCCTCTCCATTCCCACTCCACCCCACTCCACCCCACTCCACCCCCACTCCACCCCCACTCCACCCCCACTCCACCCCCACTCCACCCCACTCCAACCCACTCCACCCCCAGGCCAACTGGCTGCGCTCCGTGCGCATGAAGAAGGGCGACTCGGTGGCGCTCTACATGACCATGTTCAATGAGCTGCCGCTGGCCATGCTGGCGTGCGCGCGCATCGGCGCGGTGCACAGCGTCGTGTTCGGCGGCTTCAGCTCCAGGGTCAGGCGGGTGACGTGGCGGGGGCAGCAGCAGGGCATGCATGTGAAGTGTGTCTCTCCTCGGGTGCGGCTGCGACCAGGCGGTGGCTGCATGCAGGCAGCTCAGTGCACGCTCCTGGGGATGTAGGACGTACCAGTAGTGCACCCAACATGCATGCACATATGCACCATCTTACCACGGTTCCCGCTTTCCGACTACTAACAAAACATCGTCCATCTGGCTGCCAGCAGCAGTACCCGGCCGCTGCACCGTGGCTCCTACCACCGCCTGCACGCCCTCGTCCTCACCTCTCGTGAGGTCACCCGCTCCTCCCCGTCCTTCCCCCTGTGCTGCTGACTGCCAGCGGTGTGATGCGCGGTCTCAAGAAGATCGACTGGGAGAGGATATCGGACAAGGGTCTGGACCTGTGCGCCATTTGTGCCAAAACGGGTGAGGAGCAGCTGCAGAGCTCTGAAAGCCGCTTCCTTCCATCACTCAGCCCCCATAACGGCCATATTGGCTAGTCAACTTGTCCCATTGCAGCAGCTGAGCCAATCCTGCTTGCACTCGGGTGCCGTACCATATCACTCGGCGGCCTCTTAACCGCTTCCAAAACACCTCTCCCCCCCTCCCCTCTGATGCCTTATCACAGGTCAGTTAGATGTTTCCTCTCTATCCCCCACTACCTTGCAGGTGGAGCATGTGCTGGTGTACGAGAACGACAACGCCGTGCCCGCCGTTGACTGCCCCTTCACTGCCGGCCGCGACCGCTGGTGGCAGTCGGAGGTGGCGCAGCAGTCCACCAACTGCCCGGTGGAGTGGGTGGAGGCGGAGCACCCGCTCTTCCTGCTGTACACCTCGGGATCCACCGGTAAGAAGAGGAAGGCCGGAGTCGCAGCTGCTGGGGTTGCTGCTGCTGCTGCCGTTGTTTTAGTGGCGCTTCACATCCTCTCCTGTGCTCGCAGCCAGGAGCCCCAGCACCCATCCGCATCGTGCTGAACCACTGAGCCCCGTCACTGCAGGCAAGCCCAAGGGTGTGCTGCACACCACTGGCGGCTACATGGTGTACGCCGCCACCACCATGCGCCACGTGTTCCACCTGCAGCGCGGGGACGTGTACTGGTGCACCGCCGACTGCGGCTGGATCACCGGACACTCCTACCTCGCCTACGGACCCCTCCTCAACGGAGCAACGCAGGTGCGGGGGCGTGTGTGTGGACAGGGAGGCTGAGACGGACTTGCTTGCCTGGTTTGCGTGGCTCCAAACACACCTTGCGGAACCTGAACCGCATGGCCTGCTAATAGATACCTTTGTAAAGGAAGTCCTTGTGAACGCGTTGACACGTCAGGACGCGGCTACCTGCCCCCACATAGCACACAACCGTGCTTACCCCTCACCGTCACCCTCCCTCCGCACCACCCCCCAGATCGTGTTCGAGGGCGTGCCCACGCACCCCACCCCCGCCCGCTGCTGGGAGGTGGTTGCCAAGCACCGCGTGACGCAGTTCTACACGGCTCCCACCGCCATCCGCTCGCTGATGTGCTCCGGCGACCAGTGGGTGGAGCAGTGCGACCTCTCCTCGCTGCGTATCCTGGGCTCCGTGGGCGAGCCCATCAACCCGGAGGCGTGG